CTCCTCCTCCTCCTCCTCCTCCTCCATATCATTGCTGTCTTTCTTTTCTTAATTTACAGTTAGTTTTGTTTTTCTTCATCTCCCCCACCACCTTTTCGCCTTTCACCACCATCACCACCACAATCACCATCACAATAACCACCTCTCCTCTTCCTTCTCATTCTACTCCCCCATTTCTTCCTCCTCTCCAACTCCTAATCTGTACCAATATTGTTTTTCTCCCTCTTCTTAACCCAGTTTCTTCTTTAGTCTCCTCCTCTCTTACTTCACTTTCTCCTCCTCTACCTCCCCCCTTCCTTCCATTCCTCCTTATTTTCATCGTCCTTAGTATGTTCTTCTCTCTCCATCTCCCTTTACCACCACCACCTCCATTGTTCTTTCAATGTAGTCGCCTCACTCTGATGTGACGTCACAGCTTGAACCCAATGGATACTTCTCAACCTTCATGGTTTATTTTTAGACAGCCAATCAGTGATCTTGTTGTAGTTGGCCTTCATCCACCCAATATTTGCTCTGAAACATGAGCAACACAGTCGGACAGTTATTTCATAGTTTGTCAGGATGGTGGATTAAAACAAAACAAAACAAAAATAAATAAATAAAAAGATTCATGTATGTTAATCAAAGAAATGTTTTCATTTTTCTATTCGTATAGGTAGCCATTTATATGCTTTCATTTTATCAACTATCTCATTATCAATTCTTTCGTAAATTTATCCATTTGTCGTTAAAAAAAAAAAGAAATGATTATCCGTGCATCCAAATTTTTAACATTTTAAGCTATCTAGAGAATCTATCTACCCACCCACTCTCTCCCAAAATATATCAGTCACCACTCAAAATCCTTGAACAGGCAAACAGACAGACATACTCACACCTAAACAGATATATTATAGGAGAACAAACCAAAGAAACAGAAACACAAAGACACACTTACAGTTACAGGCATCGACACATCCACACACACAGACACATGTACAGGCATACAAACACACACACACACACACACACACA